ACCCGCGATCAATAAGGTTTTTTCCGTTTCGGATGATATAAAATCTTCTTCGTGAAAATCCATCTACTAGAACGGCGGGAACTGGCCTTCCAAAAACACGAAATTTGGCAAAAAATGTTTTTGAAAATATCGCGAATTTATTTGCGTTTTCTGTGGATCATTTCCGCTTCAATAAATAACCTCATACGGATTTTGATCTTTTTCGAAAAAAGAACTTTAAAAACTTCAGCCGAAAGAGAGATGTACGCAATTTATCTCAAAAATAGATTGTGATGGCACATCCATGGTTCTTAATGGACCACATTGAAATCGGTATAGATCGATGTATTTTTATAGGGTGCACACTGAAATCGGATGCGCGTTAATGGCATCTGGAGTTTTCGGAAATTATTCGCGTTTTACGGTTTTTTGGGTACTTCAATGTAACGTGCGGCACATCTTAGCCGTCAAATGAAATTTCGCAAAATATATATGGATTGGAAGATAAACTTCAGTACTTCCTGGAAACCGCATGCGCATCAAATGATTTTGAGAATTACGCGATGTAGACGCAATTTATCTCAAAAATAGTGTGAGCTGGCACATCCATGGTTCTTAATGGACCACATTGAAATCGGTATAGATCGATGACTTTTTTTTGGGTGCACACTGAAATCGGATGCGCGTTAATGACATATGGAGTTTTCGGAAATTATACGCGTTTTACGGTTTTTTGGGTACTTCAATGTAACGTGCGGCACATCTTAGCCGTCAAATGAAATTTCGCAAAATATATATGGATTGGATGATAAACTTCAGTACTTCCTGGAAACCGCATGCGCATCAAATGATTTTGAGAATTACGCGACTTAGACGCAATTTAAAATGTATATTTCATAATATTATTTTATTTTAAGATTTATTCCTATTTATAGAACCCTAAGATTTATCGGAAGGGTCTTGATATAATCCGCAAGGCGTATACTTATACACAAAAAGTGATTATTATTATATATGTCAATTTTTCAGCGAAATTCGGGTAAAATAGCAGAATAACCCCAACATTTTTTTCTGAAATTTCTTGTATACAATTAAAAAAATAAATGTGATGACATTATTTTTTCGAACCAAAAACTAATAATTTTCCTCAATATCTTGTTTTGTTGTCGCTGTGATTTACAAACAGCTACACGGACTTGTGTGATTTTGATATCATTTGATTCACCATGGTGTTTAGATTATGTACATATTTTTAAATTAATTTTTAGGTGTGTGTATGTCATTAATATAATGAAAATATTTACGTAATCTCCTATATTTTCATTATTTTTCTCATATTTCGCGAAGATGTGCAACTTTTTCGCGATTTTTATAATATATTCATATTCTTATTTTACGGAGGAAGATATATATCAACGTTTTTGGTCAATATAATAAACGGCGTAATTTTAAGAATTTTTTCTTATGCCCAAAATTAAAACCTCGATAACTTTTGCGCGCATCAACCAAAAATTTGATCGCGAACGGTTTCGGAGTCAGAACATTTTTCTCTATATGTGTACCAAAAATCATTGATGTGCCACAAAAACAAAAAAGCTGATTTTTTGAAAATGGAATATTAAAAAATTGGCAATATTGCCCATATACATCCAATTGACATCCAAATAAAATATGTAGCGGTGGTTACTTGCTTAAGACTTAAAGCATTGGACGAGTGGATAGGACACAACACACCGCACAAAAACATTTTACAGGTAACTACTGAGTCAACATTCAATACTATTGATTCAGATGTACCTGAAACGAGAGAAGTGACACGGTGCGAAACCAGATAGAGAACAATGGAATAGCGGAACAGAAGCCGCCTGGTTACTGTTGCTACACAGATGGCTCTCGATTAGGAGGAAAAACTGGACTGGGACTTTTTATCGAAGAACCGGGTACCGAAATTTCTCTTCGTTTTACAGATCACAGCACGACCTTACAGGCGGAGGTTCAAGCTATAACCGAGTGTCTTAACTGGTTAACTTCAAACCAAGGACAAAATACAATAAATATTATTACGGACAGCAAGCAAGCTAAAAAGGCAATTTCTTCCGAAACAGTTAAATCCAAAACTGTACAGGAATGTATAAATATCATTAATAATTTCTCACAATAAGGACCTATACGAATTATATGGGTACCGGATCACCAAGGAATCATATGCAACGAGATAGCTAATCAACTAGCCAGGAGCACTACCCACAATAGAGGTGTATACCGCCAAACCCTTTAGCGAGATACGCCAATAAATGAGGGAATGGGCAAATGAGGTGAAGAGATGAAGAGGGGACAGGAAAAATCACCAAAATCGTATGGGGCGACACAAGACAAAACTAAGAAAATCCTAACGCTAAACAAAAAAGAAATAAGCCCACTGACTGGTATTCTGACGGGACACCTCGGCCTGAAGGCACATCTCCTCAAGATTGGATGCGAAGGTACTAACATGTGCAGAGCGTGTGGGGAAGACAGGCCTCAAATGGTGGTATCATCCACGCCTCTTTTCCACCTAACCTAGTTTTGTAACAGAAAAATTTTAATTTCACTAGAATTCTCCAAATTTCTACATACACATGGGGAATGTAACAAAATTTTAGATGAAATTATAATAAAATTGGTGGAGAATATGCCAAACCACATTAAAATTGGCATCTTATTTTCAAATAAATTGGCATCTTATTTTCAAATAAATGAGGGTGCGAAAAGGGCAACCACCAAGTCCCAAAATTACTTCTGTCGCACCCTCTTACAAATTGTAAAGATGCTATTGAATGGTTCACCATGTAAAAAAGATGCGATGATGAGCACTCTGGACTTATCGAGATGTTGTTTTAAAATTTATAGAACATGTTACAACAAATAAGCTTCAGATATATTAAGAGAGGAAACGTGGCCATTGAGACAATTTTATTGTGTGAATGGGAAGACATCGCCTTGAGGGGAAGTAAAGCCTTCTGAATACTGTCGTTAGACGCAATCTTAGAAAAATTTTGGAGAGTATTCCCAAAAATTCAACATACCTGAGTCCCATAATACAGAACGAGTTAATATAACTAATTACATTATTTGTCCATGTTTGGACGAACTAATTATAAATATGACAAGCAGATTTCTGGAAAATGAAAAAAAATGTTAAAACATTATCGAGAATTATAAAATGTTTGTATAAAGATTTTAAGAAATCATACAATTTTATGAGAAATATCTGAAAGTGGCTCTGTGGATCACTATGTGGAAAGCGAAAGACCATATAATCCATTATAAAACATTATAACAGCCTTACCTAAAATTCAACTAGCTCGTTCGACGTTTATATGAATGTTAGTCCCAATTTAGATTAGGCGAGTTTACTTGCCGCAAGTCTTTATTTGCAGGAAAGAGGGGCAAGGGGAATAGAAATGGGAAAAAATTGCTCGTACCGACAATTTTCTGGCAATTCGTTTAGTGTATTTTGTTTGTAGTGTCATTTCAGAAAAAATAATTCAATTCAGAAAATATATGTTTGCAACCGCATTGCCTTGTATAGACGCATGAAGCAAGTTCAAAAGAGAACGATAAAAATTGCCGCAAGTAAACTCGCCTAATATAAATCAGGACTTACCGAAATACGTCGAGCGTACAAAATTTCAAGTTGAAAATTGTCAACTTTGACAGAACGTATTTTTTGTTTTTTTCTTTTGTTGAAAATAAAATCAAAACATTCAGAAAATATGAAATTTCGAATGTGAACATAAAATATTTGGATTAATTGAATACATTTTCAACTTTGTTTTGCGGTTTGCATTATTCGGTTGAAGATATGGATTCGACGTATTTGGGAATACGGCCGTACACAACATTTTGCAAAAGTGGGGAAGTTGAATTTTTCTGTACGCCCCGTCGGATTATAGGTAACGTTGTAATGGCATAATTACAATAGGTAGTCTTATTGTGAATTTGATGATGGCAACCCATTTTAATTTGGAACTCATCTATCAGTTTTAAATAATATGAAAAATAAATTCCATAAATTGTATGTATGTCGATTGGCATCTTTTAAATAAATTAAAAAATATATACATTTTCTAATGCTGAACATTGCTCTCAAGATTTAACCATGATTGTTATATCTTTTATCAAAATGTTTATAAATATAAATTATTTAGCAATTTTTGCCGCTGAACACATTATATGCGTACATTTCGAAAGAAGATATTTTCATTAAAATTTTGAAAGCTGTTTATAAAACAGCACACCAACTCTAAACTAAAATCTCCGATTTATGAATGTTTTTAGTTATCTGATTCAACAAATTTAAGGAAAGCTTAATTTATTAATATTTTTATTTTTTTATGGAAAGACCAATGTCGTTCAAAAAGAGTATTTTTATCGAATGAAAAAGGGTTTCCAAAATATCTACAAAACAAAAATAAATGGATTCTTTGCTACGAAAATTAAATTTGAAAACTGTAGAATACTCCACACATTTAATTTTCGATCTTCTCTATAATCGTCTAATATTGTTTCTTTATTAAAAAAAATATCAAAAATTAAAAAAAAAAAAAATACTTTAGGCACAATTTTAGACTTTCACGAAAACACTGTGTTAAATTTGGTATCTAAACTAAGTCTTGGTTATCAGTACGAGAACGGAAATAGCGTATCTTTTAACTATGGTTATTTTTTGGGCCTTACATAAATTTTTGTTTATAATTTACATATTGTTAATGTTTTTTGAACTCGATTGAGCATGATTTTTCCAAATTGCAAATCCAAAGTTCCAAATTGCACAATCCAAAGTGTAGTTTTTAATCACCAAAAAGTATGTCGGAGTAAGATAATATAAAAGTGTATGTAATGATTTATTGGAAATCAGTCAATTTTGTTGGTTGATGATAGCGTAATTCAAATATAAATATAAATTATACTTTCTGTATATATTTACTTTTTACAACATTTAAAATAGAAATTAATATAAAAAAACAAATTACACTTACGGTCAAGACCTCCAATATAACGAATGGTAACTTCACAATGGCCCCATACAGCAGATACTACTGGATACAACTTTTTGCCTTTCAGTCCCCTAAATGCCACTCCCAGATATTGATGGTCAATAATAAAACTTAAAGTTCCTTCGTCCATGTCAAGAGCTACTAAAAATTTGTCGGGAACCAAGAAGGCCTCGTCATTTTTTAGAATTTTAGGATAAGTGACACCAGCATAATTTTTGGAGTCGTGATAAAGTTTATTTCTTCCTAAGTCCCATCCCCAGCTTTGGTCTGTTGAACCAACTAGACTTTGATATCCTACAGAATGTAGGGGAGCATCCGCCGTGGCAACACCAACAACAGCGTGAGTTCCTCTCTGTCTTGTAGGCCAATATATCTCCCATATATGAAGGCCTTTTGTCATTCCAACCTTTCCACGAATACAGTCGGTACTTTGAGCCACAGGATGTCGATGAAAGGTCAGTTTATCTTCTTCTTTTACAAATATATTTAACGACCTATCCTCTGAGTTCCAGGAATGCTTTAGTTGAACTTCTTTACTTGCAGGCGGCATATCTAATAGAATATCTATTCTTGCTGGATTTACAAAATCAAGGGCCAATTCTCTCGGTATTATTGGTTTAAAGGGAGTTTGAGAATCATTCCGGTTTACAGTTTTAACACTGCCGCTTATTTTTTGGCCCATGTTCATAACACGACAACTTCGAGATCTTCTTTGATCCACTGTTGCCACTTTGTAAGACAATCGCAGCCGTTCAAAATCTCTTGGTTCCAATCTTGAAAAATTAACACGGAATGACGTAATTGAAGATGACAGGCTATGAGGTCGACGTCTATCGCTTGACCTTACTGCAGGCGTCTTTCCACCTATATATCTAAAAAAGATATGAAATAAAAATAGTATATATATATTAATGTTAATATGTTCGTACATGTATTTTATAAATGTATAATAATTTTAAATGTTCAATGTGCAATCAAAATTTCCCTCATTCTGTTTTCTTATAATTCCAGATAAATAAAGATTCTTGTAATTACTGAACTAACACAATATGAAATTTCAAATTGATACGTCAAATAGTTGGTTCTCTACAGAGGTTCAAATCTGATAATTGTTTACAAATTGATTAATTTTCGAAACATCTATATATGTTTGTGATGCTTAAATATTTGAATATTAAAAACTAGGATACGCTTTTGTTTGTATGTATATAGAGACCAAATGGAGTTTACAGTTGTCCACACCTGTAGTACTTAGTTCATCTAATTTGTAAAACGAATTTTGAAATTAGTAAAGTAGAAAAAAAGGTTAAAAAATGTTCGCCCTATTTATTTTTTTTTATTTGAGTTGTGAAATGTTTGTTTTGCAACGTTTAAAAAATTCAGCTGTGGATACTTTACGCCTTATAAGTTAGTTACGTTTTATGGTGACTACCTTTTTAAAACCATATGACATATTCATACATAGTAATCATTCAATATTTTATATAAAATTGGCAATTTCTTGGTAAAAATATTTTCGGAAGCGGAGATTTTGTAGAATTTGTTTTAAAATAGTAGGTTGTTAATTTGAGAAAATGAAAACCCAAATTACAGAAACTCAGGTTGGAAACCTGGGCTAGGAGTCGCGTCCCAATTTATTTGGGGGTTATGCCAAAATACATTTAATGGCAAACATATTTATTAAATTACAGACACTTCGATGGGAAAAATTTACTAAAACCTCAAAAATACGCAAATAGAATGGAACATTAATATGGGGGATATGTCCAAACATAGACCTATGTAGACAGACAATTTTCTGCATAAATATGTTTTACCTTACAATAACCTACAGAATGCGGCTAAAACATTCAAATACCGAAAATATATATACCAAAACGTGGACCGGTACTTTTTTAGGTGAAAGATTCGATACCCTATTAGAATCAAAAATATACAATTAGATCATTTTTAGTAGGAAGATTTTACACATATGGAGAACCAAAATATATAAAATTAAAACAAATTAGGTTGAAATACGAGCCCAAAAGCTTGAAAATTTCGAATATGATTGATCGAACACATGGCTAAATTGACGGAGAATTTTATTCTGAAATTTAATATCACTCCGCCTAGGTATAATGCATTTTTTAGAAGTACAGATGTCATTACTTTTTTTGCACTTTTTTAAAAATTTCAGCACTTTCAGGCATCAATCAATTTTCTAGTTTAGTGCGATTCGAATACAAAACACATAAGTAGTATCTCTATTTCTTCCCTTAAACGATTTCTTATAGATTAAGCTGCTTATAAATATCCCAGATTGAATTGCATTATTTATATAGAGACAAAATTACTTAAACCCCGATGCGTTCCAGGTGTTGATTTTGTGTAGAATCCAGGTGGAGTTCTGTCCGGATCAGTGCCGAAGCTTTCGTTAAGTATATCAACAGGCTTTCATTGACTTTCATTAGATCGTTTACGTGAGTGGGAAGTTTTTCGGTAAAGCGTTTTCGAAGCTGAAGAGCATAAAAGCATAATGGTTGCACTTCAGAGACGTTGTAAATATAATATGTATCGTAAATATAATTAAATAATAAATATAAAACTGATTTATGTGCTCAACGTGTTCAACGCATAGAGCTTGTTCTGGCGATACCTCATGCGCATAAATCAGACGATCATCTGCATAAAGGATGGCTTTGAATGATTTCTGGAATGGAAATCATTAAGGAATATGTTGAAAAGGAATGGGGCCAATACACTTCCTTAGGGGACTCCGCTGCTGATCAACCCATACCTTGACGAATCATTGTTTATTTGGACAGAGAATTTTCGTTGAGAATGGTAATTATTTATAATTTTGACCAGGAATGGATCATAACCAAAATCAATCATCTCAATAATCTAATGACTGTGCAAATTCGATTTCTCAAGTTTGCCGTGATGTCGCTATGAAACTTGAGAAGCACATGTTGTATTGAATAATGTTGTTAAAATCCAAATTAAAAGTCAGGTATAGGATTGACGATGAATTCTTTCTCTATTTTTTGCCCTGTTTTGAGGAAAAAATTAATAACGGCGGTGTTAAACGATTTTTTGACTTTTTAAATTATTTATATGTACAAGAAAGAGAAAACGCAGATTTCCACAGTAGAAACCGGATATAAGGAACAACAGTTATAAGCAACTGCACAAATAACGAACAAAGCTAATTTTTTTCAGACATTTTCATTAGTTTTCTTAAACACAACAAACGGTTGAAAACTATTAGGGTAGTGTGTTAAAAATATTTCGACCCCGCGATCAGATTTTTAAAGGAATATTTATTACAATGTTGTATGTTTTTGCAGAATGCATTAATAACAATTAATTCAGTTCCCATTTTTACTCTTTTTTTTTTTACGTACGTTCCCACGCCTCACTTTCCCACCCCTGCCGACCGAGGGGGCGACCTCCCCTTTCGTAGGGATCGCGTACGCATCATAATCCGCATTATGATGGAATATGAGAAGGGATAGAAAACCAGCTACAGAAATCTACTTCAACAGCCAGTTTGTTATTAAGTTGTATTATTCATTTAGAAATATGATTATATTAGATTTTATTAGGTCTATATTCATGCAAAAGTCTACGTTAGAATACACAGAATTGAAATCAATACACATTTTACTAAGTGGATCTCCCATAGAATAATTTGTGCGATGAAAATCTACGTATAATGGTTGATAATATCTACTTAATCGAAAAGGCACATTTATTCTAATGGATGAAATTAGGAAGTCTGAGGGTATATTTCCGTTTAGTATTTTAATTACCATCATAGTGTTCAACATAATACGTCTACTTTTTAATGTTGGCAATCGAATTAATTTTAACCTGCTAGTGTAAGAAGGCAACACAAAGTCACTATTCCAATGTAAACCTCTCAGCGCAAAAATTAGAAATTGTTTCTGCACTGATTCAATTTTATCGGAATAAATTGTATATTGGGGATCCCATACAACAGAACCATATTCTAATATGGGTCGCACAAGAGATGTAAAAAGTTGTTTTGTAATGTAGGGATCAGAGAATTCTTTAGCCCATCGTTTTATAAATCCTAAGACACCGTGGGCTTTGTTTACCATAGAAATAACATGATTATTAAAATTTAATTTTGGATCCATTAAAATACCAAGATCAACAAATGAATCAACAGTTGATAAAACAGTACCATTAATATTGTATTGCCTTGTTAAAGTAGAAGATCTGGAAAAACACATATGCTTACATTTGTTTAGGTTTAAATCCATACAGTTTAATTCGCACCATTGAAAAAGGTTATTTAAATCATTTTGAAGTAAATCAGCTTGCTTCATGGAGTTATGGGTGATAAACAACTTGACATCGTCAGCATACATTAGCAATTTGGAGTGGATTATTGCATTTGGTAAATCATTTATAAATAGAAGAAAGAGGAGTGGACCTAAATGACTTCCTTGGGGAACGCCGGAAGGAACATTAATGGATTTGGAGAGACAATCATCAAACAAAACTACCTGTGATCTATTTCTCAAATAAGATGATATCCATTTAACTAAATTTATACTGAAACCAATTTGATTTAATTTATATATTAAAAGTTCATGGTTAACCCTGTCAAAAGCTTTACTGAAGTCTGTGTAAATCGTGTCGGTTTGATTACGCTGAATAAAACCTTTTATGACGGTTGAGGAAAATTGAATAAGATTGGTAATGGTTGAGAGGCCACTACGAAAACCATGTTGATATGGGCTTAAGATTGGCTGAACTTTATGAGAAATTATATCAGTAATCAGTTTTTCGAATAATTTTGGAATTGCACTTAATTTAGCAATTCCTCTATAATTCGAGACATTAGTTAAGCTACCAGATTTGTGTAAAGGAACTATATAGGATTTCTTCCAGAAGGTCGGAAAATGACTATATTTCAGGGAATAATTAAACAATAGCGTTAAAGGGATAGCTAATGTATCTGAACAGTACTTTAGAATTATGCTAGGAATGCCATCCGGACCTGGACTTTTAATTGATCTTAAATTACGTAGATTTTTAGAAACATATTGACTTTGTAAAAAAGGCATAGATATTTGATCTATCGTCGATAATTTATAACTATATGTATCTTTATTTGGACAGGGTGAATATGAATATGTTGTAGCGAAAAAATTTGCAAAGCACTCTGAAATTTCAGAGTTTTTCTCAAATGTCTGATTATTGAATTTCAAGATGGTGGGCTTTGACGTAGCTTTTCTTTTTATATTAACAAAGTCATAAAAAGATTTAGGATTGGATTTGAAATTAAGTTTAATCTTGTTTAAATAAAGATTGTAAAGTTTTCGGGACTCTGACGTATATTTAGACCTTGCGACAGCATATTTAGCATAATCTATAGAGGAGCCTGATTTTTTATATTTTTTAAAAAGTTTATTTTTATAATTTTTAATACTTGAAAGCCCAGATGTGACCCATGGATATCGTTCCGAGTTTCTAACTCTAACAATGGGAACACATTCTAGAATAAATTTATTTAGGATATCATAAAATTTATATACTGATAATTCTAGATCAATATGACCCTTACAAATAAATAATGTGCTCCAATTTACGTTTGAGATAAGTGCGTTTAACTTTCGGAAGTCAGTTTTATTATAATTAGGAACAGATTTAAATGATATTAAAGAATTGTTGGTAGCTAAATTATTATGCATCATGGATATGCATAATGTAGGATGGTAGTTATCTTCGGGAGTACATACTGGAGGTATTCTAATAATTTCAAAATATTGTGTATAATTCACAAATGCTAGATCTAGAATTCGATCATAACAATTTGATACGCTATTTATTTGATAAAGATTTATGTCGCTAA